CCCCAAAACCCCAAAACCCCATAACAGATCATTCTAAAATTTTATGCGTTTATTAAAATTGAATGAATAAATCTGAATTATTAATTTGCAAAAGGTAAATATTCAAAGCAAATGTGCAATCACTCTAATTGAGGCAACTTTGAAAGCCTTGATAAGTGATTCGATTTTTTTCTTGTTCAATCAAAGTTTAAATGTGTGCTCAATTGGAGCTTTAGTCAAAATTCTCTTGACGTCGTCTTCAAAATTGATGATTCCAGTAATCAATGTAAGTTGAGGCTTGAAGAAAGTAAGTCTTTCATAGATTTCCTTCAGAGTGTTCTACTCAACCTTATTCTCGCTCATTTAAAAGTAAATCTCAGGCTTTTAGTTATTAAGTGAAAACGGTTCTCCGATTCTTTTTAGGACACCCATGTTAGAGTAGTGCTGTACAGAATTTCCGATCGATTCCAAGCTGCATGACTCATAGTACATCAGGAATCCTTCATCATGAAGAGTCTCTGCAAGCCATTAAATTCTCTTTTCAATGTCTTGTTGTAAAATTGGGGTCGCTGGTCTCATCTATCTAAAGTACGATAAGGTGACCCAGTAGCTTTCAACGAATGGAGAGATAAACGTTCTAAAGAATTTTAGAGCTTGTTTACCCTCTCTAATTACCTTAATGTGGGGTTAAGCATCTCCAGTGATCTAAATATATCCTCTTTTCTCCATAAATCTAAGAACTTCCATGAAGCTTTCAAAATCATTAATTTGGTTCCTCACAACGAATTCATCCCTAAGAATATTAGTCAAGAATTCAGTTTGGTCCCAAAGACGATTCAGTGGAACTCCCTAGGAGTCTACAGTGGATTCACCAAATGCTAATAGAGAAGCTGAGATATAGGCCTCATTCAAGAATAGTTAGATCAAACCATTTCTATAATAGGCTAGCATCAGGATGTTCTTGTAGTCTTTATTTGCTTTGACTGATGGAGAGAATACATCTTTCTTAGTATCAATAAAGCTTTTTAAGTAGGTAAGAGAATTCTTAATTGACTATTTATTTGGCTTAGAACTTTAGCAAGTTACTCCTCCTCTCAATTAAATCTCCTCATAAAGCCAAAGAGTTTTGCTAACTAGTTCATCCTCAGTTATACCTCCCTATCTCTTAGAAATAATAACTGAAGCAACAATCTGAGTTGACATTACAACTAGGTTATCCGTTAATGTATAAGCAAGCTCCATCGACATAGTGTCAGCAAAATTAGATTTTAAAATAGCAACTTAATTCTAAACCTCAACTGGAACTGGGCCTAGTTATCTATTTAGAAGCAATCTTGGATCAATACCTTTCTGCTTAATGTATTCATTCACTTTTTCCTTAAGTGAAATAGGCTTGCAGTATTTAATATAAGCTCTGCCATACTTTTCACTCACCCAAAGAATGCTTTTTAAAATCTTAAATACAGATTCTCTATTGCCTTCATCTCCAAGCAATTCATATGGAAAAGATTCCCCTTCATAGATCTTATCATAGTTGATTGTGACTGGCTGAAGAATAATATCTTATATATCATCGGGGCTTCTCATGTAAGTATCGACTATCTATTCAAATATAAAAGGTAGAGGCTTGATAATCTTTCCTGATCGTTCTCTCTTTCGCTCTAAATGATATCCAAGGATTTGCTGATCCTTAAGGATATGACTTAGGAACTCCTCCAATAGAACTTTAGGTAATGCTTAGTCTAACTTTTTATAATTTACAAAGAAACCTCCACATCTTTTAAGTATCTTGCTTAAGATAGCGACATCTTCAAATTCTGCCATTCCACAGATAAATGGTAGGTCTATCTCATAGATAATATGAGTGTAAATCAACAAGATAAAATCTAAATAGCTTTTAAAGGAGGGAATCAATACAACAGCATTGCCTTTTTGTGCTTATAAGTTCGAGATATTTTTAAGTTCAGCATCAGAAACAATAATTTGATCAAATATCCTTTTGAATCTTGTGTGAAAGCCCATAAACACTGCCTTAATTGTATTTTTATCTATCTAGGCACTCATGCTTCTCAGTATCAGTTTCCCTTCCTTCATAAGGCTATGATATGTTGAATTTGAGGTATTTCCTTGGCACTGTATTCTCAATTAATTCTAGACTCTATCACAGAACATAACCTTATCTATTAGTTTGTCCAAATTAACTCCTTTGACTTTGTTGGTTTTTGAATAGAATTAGGCGGCATCTTCAAAATATCTAGTATTCACTTTTTGAAGTAAGTTCTATTGTTCGTGTGGAAGAGCCACATCCATCTTCATCATAAATTTCTGGATCCCGTACACCATAAGGTGAGACATTAAAGGCCAGTCAATAGTTTTTGGGTTGAAATTCCAATTAACCTTATCTGCTTCATCGAGTTATTAATGGATTTCCAAGACTCTTTTAGACTCAAAGCACCAATCATTTAATGTGAATTCTTTTAGCAGTTCTACAACCTATGATACCTTATCATTGAGTTTATTAAGTCTTTGAACGTTTTTCTTAAAGGTTTGACTTCCTCCATATTAACTAATGTATGTTAGAGCCTTTGTGGGAAGAGTAGTCTTGAGATATTTCATTCTCTATAAATAGATTAGTTCTTGAAATAGGGTAAAATTATACATAATAGGTCTTTTCTGGTACAAATTTGCATTAAATATTGCCGATTATGTTTTCCATTGGCTTCTTTCTAGCATAATCTAATACATGGATCACATAGTCAACCCAGAGAATCGGATTCTAATGACTTGTAGCGCAATGCTAAATCTATAGAGAATTGCGATTTGCTTAGAAGGCAGTACCTACTAATACACTATTAGACACAAAATCAACAGGAATCATATCTCCTCTATTATTTTTGTTCGAAGGTACAAATTGCAATGCACCAATTGTAGCAAATAGTGTCAATGCACCAGCAGCTGCTAAAGAATCAATCCAACCTGGTTAGGGCTACTCATATGCACTTATGATAATTGCAGGTCTTAATATCAAGAGTGGCATATCGCCTCTGTGTTTTTATAGTGATCTCTCTGAGAGGTTCTTTGTGAAAGTATATGTATTTACCCAGGGTTTAATTAACTCTTTTTACTGACTTAATATCTCATGTTCAGATAAGCTTAGCAATTTATTAACAATCTCATCTGGATCTCCTGGATAATTATAAATTTTTTCATCAATATATCCTCTATAGTATAGATTTGATTATTGGCACAACATACTTTTTTTCAGAGTTAACATAGCAAGTAGACACATGAGTGAATACCTAAATATTCTTACACTTCTTAGATAGTTCTAACAGTCTTCTGGGACCCATGTAGTTTATTTAGATTGCCTAATCTAATCTAAGATCAAAGTCAATTGATGCTGCATTGTTAATTATCACCTCTACGTTTTCGATAATTTCAGCTAGCTTATCCTTATTAAAGATGACGTTAGGTTCAGACTATAGAAACGTCATATTGCAAAATGAAACCTACAATGTCCCCCTCGACGCCAATGATCTTCTCATCAACATAAGCCATAAAATCTTCGTGCTGTAATCTCAGAGACTCAAATATCTCGCTCTAGAATATCTCTTTCTTTACTCGCTCCATTACTGATATTCCTGTCTATTATGTAATCATTCATTCAAAATTATTCTTACCTTTGGTCTGATTAGCAGATAAATCTTTTTGCATTCTACTGATCTTAGGAGCTTCTCTAAGACAACCTTCCCTAAAGATAGAGTGTTAATTTAACAGAACACATACCAAGAAAGCCAGTGCATCCTGTGACTAGGAGTGTTTTGTCCTTGTAAAATTCACTTATTTTCATATATTTATTAATTAACTATGTTAGTAATCCCCTATTAGCTCACAAGGGGTTTTGGGGTTTTGGGGTTTTGGGG